AAAATGCAACGTCCTCTTATGAGGACACAGGGTCTCAGGAGGTTAAGACATTCATGGCTTTTATTTGAAGTCCATTTAAACGCGATCAGACGGCTTTAACCACTCTGATTTACAGTTATATCCATACGCATCCCTCCCCTTGCATTTTACACACACTGGGGCTAAAATTCATTGGTGTTTTAACACTAAAAGTTGGATATGGAATGGAACAGTTACCACAGTTTCCGTGGGGTTGATTTCCCTCCGAAAATATTCACTTAAAGACGTTACAGCATCTTAGATCCAGTACCATGCTGTGTCTTCTGCTTTTTGCACGTTATATAAAGGGTACATAAACAGAGAGCACTGTTTTTTTCTCCCTGTCTGTTTTAAATTCATGCTCTAATGTTCTTTTAACTGGTGTTTTAAATATGAGCCTGCAAATAAATAAATTAATAAATACATAAAAACAAAGGAAAATGTTTTTTTCCCACCAAGACATTGAGCTAAGGGATACAAAAATACTGTAAGTCTGTATGAGTTAGACTGTCTTTATTTGATATTTTCCTGACATATATGGCAGGAGTAATCATTAGATTTATTTATTGATAAATGAGTGAATGAAAGTGACAGCTAGGGATCAAGAACAGCTATCTGTGAGCAAGCAGAGGACATAACTCCACTTGATATAAATCAGGATCTACTGAAAAAGATCAGGCATGGAGAAAGGTGAGCAGAACTGCCTTCAGTTGTCTTAACCAGGAAAGAGGACGCAAAACCTGCTAGGCCTGCTCCATGTTGGGCAAGTTCTGGGCAAATAACCAACAAAAGATGAGTCATTCAAAGAGCTGACATCTGATTATCACTAACTTCTATAAGTACTTTGGTGATGTCAGGATGAAGGTCTGTAGCTGGAGCAGGGTTAAATAATGCTTTGGTTATGGAAAATGACCCATTAGGGTAGATACAAATCCACAGAAATGTGTTTCTCATTATTTGAACAATGGTTGATTACAAAGAACTTTGAGATTACAATAGTTAAATCCGTCTTTGTTTTAGAACACAAGTCCCACTGAACTAGTTTAGATGGAAAAATGATTTTGTTCTTTTCTTTTCTCTCTTAGGCTACAGCCCACATGCCCGATCGAAGGCAGACTCACCGATCCGGACCAAATCCCTCTCCGAACTCTCCAGTTCAAGCGCGGCCTTCTGCGTAAACTATGTAAGGGCAACGCCAGCAGGGAGCAAACCCACCGGCAGAGTCTGGTTCAGCAGCTGCCCCGGGCCATCATCATCGGGGTGCGCAAAGGGGGCACCCGGGCCCTCCTGGAGATGCTCAACCTGCACCCGGCGGTGGTCAAGGCCTCGCAGGAGATCCACTTCTTCGACGACGACGAAAACTACGCCCGGGGCATCGAGTGGTACCGGGGCGAGATGCCCTTCTCCTTCCCCCACCAGATCACCATCGAGAAGAGCCCGGCGTACTTCATCACGGAGGAGGTCCCCGAGCGCATCTTCAAGATGAACTCCTCCATCAAGCTGCTGGTCACGGTGCGGGAGCCCACCACCAGGGCCGTGTCCGACTACACCCAAGTGCTGGAGGGCAAGGAGCGCAAAAACAAGACCTACCACAAGTTCGAGAAGCTGGCCATCAACACCAACACGTGCGAGGTCAACACCAAGTACAAGGCGGTGCAGACCAGCATCTACACCAAACACCTGGAGCGCTGGCTCAAGTATTTCCCGGTGGAGCAGTTCCACGTCGTGGACGGGGACCGCCTGATCACCGACCCGCTACCGGAACTGCAGATGGTCGAGCGATTCCTCAACCTCCCGGCCCGGATCGGTCAGTACAACCTGTACTTCAACGCCACCAGGGGGTTCTACTGTCTGCGATTCAACATCGTCTTCAACAAGTGCCTGGCGGGCAGCAAGGGCCGCATCCACCCTGAGGTGGACCCGTCCGTAGTGACTAAGCTCCAGAGGTTCTTTCATCCCTTCAATCAGAAGTTTTACCAAATCACTGGGAGAACATTCAATTGGCCGTGATGCAAACTGAAGCCATTCAATGATTTTACATGATGTTTCTTTTATCGTTAACATTGACTGCACTTTGATTGAATATAATGAAATTATGAGAACTAATATGTGTTTTATTACTTGCGAGAATACAACAAAGGATGAGGGTTTGATTAATGGAATCATTTGAAGGCACTGATCAACTGTCAGTGTGTTTTTCTGGAAGGAAAAATTCATGTTCCGTTAGTCTTCAACAAAGTAGCCAAATCCGAAGAACAAACTAAACTCATCAGATAAAGTCTTTCAGGTCTGACTGTCACCATGTTAGAAAACTCAACGCGATTAAAGCTTGATCCAGGGTTTGTTCATTTAAGCGTGCTTTCTTTCCCCTCTCAGCAGCTGTTTCATCTCTTTTGCTGAACAATGCTGCATAAAGCCATAGTGGATTTTGAAAAGTTGTCATGGGATTATTCCTGTCTTACCAGCATTCTGTGCAAATATTCATTCTGTATCATTGTGTGTTATCAAAGAATCTTATTAAACATGCAAACGTTTGTCAGATGACTTATTTCCACGTGTAAAGTTCAAAGAAATGCTGTAATTCGACATAACTACTCATTGAAACTGCCACTGGAAAAAGGACAAAAGTAATTTTGCAGATATATGATGCCGTGTTACATGTTGGGACGGGACCACTGTGTGTTGGAAGTAAAAACCCCTTTAATGGAGTATGCAATCACTATTATTTATTTTCTTATTTTGTTTTTTGGTGTAATGTTCGTCAAGATGCTTGAGACACAAACATGTTTACCTTGAATTCATTCACTCAATTATACAGTGCATCCTGCTCCAGAGACACACACACACATAAATATATATATATATATAAGATCGACATTTTTAAATCTGTTTAAAGCTCTGTTTCATAAACACGTCAATTGAAACCATCTGAAACGATTATCTTATTTTTTTCACTGACCATCTTAGAATTAATAGCGTGAGCTCCCAGCAACCAGAAAATACTTTTCAGAGTTTCAAAGTAAGAGCATTCAGGATCTTTTTACAGATAAAGTAGATAAAAATGACAGAGTCAGGCTTAGGAAGAAGTGCTGTCTGGCACGATTCCTAAACAGGGAGTATTCATATTTCTCTATGTTTTATGCTCTATAAGAGAATCATCAGTTACTTTGGAAAACAGTTTCATCAATCATGGCACAATAAAGTCTAAAAATGAACACCTCAGAGTATAAAGGCCAAGGATAGAAAGCACAGCCGGAATTGTGAGAAATCGTCAGGCCACCGTGATGAACAACCAACATGGTCAAGGATGCATCCAGAATAGTGACCTAGGACAGGATTACACATGCAGGAAGCCGTATATCAGCTCTGAGGGGAAACATGGCCGCCTCTCTGAAGGGAATGATGCAGAGGGAAGGTTGGCTCTAAGGACACATGTCACCATCGATGTGGCGTCTTTTCCCGGAGCTCTGCCATCATTTCAGCAGGTTAAGAGCTGATCCTCAAAGGATGTGTGCTGAAATCTGGCATGCATAAAGAATGTCTTCAAATCGTCCGGAAAAAACGCAGCAATCAGTTCCCGAAGAATCAAAAAGTCTCATTAAAAGAAGGTGATGGAACATAATGGGAAGAGTGAATCTATCTGAACCATTTTAATGTGCTGATGGTATCACACTATAAATGTTATTGACCAAATAGGAACATTCCCTTTTCATTTTTTTGTTAGATAAAGGTTCAAAACGGATTACAGTTCAAAGTCTTTATTGAAGAAACAAGTCTTTATTTCTGCTGATTTGATTTGTGGATCCATGTCCCAAAACAGATTACTGATTTTGATTTACCTTAACTCACATTTCTACATTTTGGACTGAGTGGAAACACTGTAAAAGATCCTAAATTCATGGGACCTCATGTTCTCTTTAGTAGTGGCAAAACATAACATCTGTCAGAATTTGTTGATATTTCCCTGAAAATATATTTTTTAGGCTTTTCTTTATATTTCACCAAAATGAAAATATTTCCAAAAATATTTAGCTATCTCATCAGGACTGCAATGGTAATAATTCGTAAAAAACACTGATTTCTTGCTCAGATTGACTCAAGAATAAGATAAAATTTTGTCCATTCTTGGACAGCTCCAGCTTTTATGCATCTATCTGTGCATCTAATCCAGAAAAATAAAACCCTCCTTTCTTCAACTAAACCTGTCTCAGTGGATTTTTTCTTTCTTTACCACAGCCTTCTTTAAGAAGACCCTCTCACCGTACGCCACGGGGCCTTTCTGTGTGTTTTCCTCTGTATTTCTTTCCTTTGGTGACGTTAAATTACCCTGTTGGAATGAATGTGGGTGTGCAGGGTTATCTGTCTTGTTCATTTCTGCGTGTCCCTGCGATGATAAAGCCCATCTGTGACACCATGCCAGCTGGGAAGAAAATATCAATGAAAATTAAGTGTCAAAACATTGTTTATAACATTTGAATTTTCCTAACGTGACATCATTTTCAGGCCACTCGAGAGACGGTCATTTCAGAGACTCAGGTGTATCTCTCCACCATGGTGATTATCAGGACCTCATTTCATATTTACACCATTGTTGCCACATAGTGATTGCTAACTCTTTATTTATGATTAGTTCTGTCTCTACAGGATGGTGCTCTTTGTATTTCTTTGGGGAGTCACCATTGGCATAGGCTCCAAAACATCCCAATATTCTTTGTGTTTCTTTGAAACAATGGTCTCAAAAGTCTGACTTAATTAAAAGTGGTTTATCTGGATAGTGCATTGAAATAAAAAAACAATGTTGTTTTTATGTTGTGCTGCACAGCTAAAAAGTAAATCACCAAAAATGGCAATGGAATCCAATAAATTAGTTGATAAAAACACGGAAGGAGACTCAAGTCAAAGCTATTTCACACAGTGCACAACAAAGTGGTGATGACAAGGATGACAGTGTAGGAATCTGACATGTTTTGTTGTCTTTGTTAGGTCTATATTTGATGTTGTGGCCTGCTTCATAACAACTGACAGGTAAAAGTAGCCATACTTGAACCTAATGTTCAGCTGGAAAATGTCCATGTCATGGATTTTGCTCTAACGCCTGCCTAAATAGTTTTGCTGACCAATGCAAAGGTATTCCCTCGGCCTAGATTCTGGCATAATCTGATAAGGTTGGGAAATAACCAGAATACACAAAGACCCTTTGAACAACTGATGTGACAAGTTGCTGTGTTTTTTTCTGTTTTTTCCAGTAATGCTGGGACATGGTCACATTTCAGTGCTGAACATCTGTACCGTCTCAGGACCAGATTAATGATCAATAAGTCATCTATTTTGTAGTATTTTGTGTCCGATGTGCCAGGTTATAGGTGAAGCCTCCTTCTGAAATACAGCAACTTAATATTGTGTCCCTGCGCAACACCATCCATGCTTTGTTAGTATATTGACTTCTGACTTCTAAGTAAGGAGTTAAGTCGTCCAGTCGTGGTGTCACCCTCTGGAATAGTTTAGCGGAGGAACATAAGTGTTGCGGAAACATAAACCGGTTCAAAAAAATATTTAAGCAGAATGTCCTTAGTAAATACCTGGAAGAGAGTGAGTGATGTTCTATGAGGGTGGTGTGGTGTAGGGAGGGGGGTGTTGGGACGGGGAGCGTTGGGCCAGTGTGTTGTCTCTGTGTCTTGTATGCGTGAGTGTGGATGTGTTGCTTGTCTTGTCTTTGTTTTTTTCTTTACAGGTCTGTTGAGTGTCCCTGGGATGAGCGGGAGGGGATTGGACATGCATAAACTTCGGCTTCTTCCATCCCCTTTTCAAGGCATGCATTTGTATTGTTTGTCACTATGTATGTTCTTAAATGTGTGCAGGTTTGAAATAAACTTTTGAATTGAATTGAATTGAAAAAGGCGTAGGTTGAGATATATGTCACTTATCAAGTAAACATAGCTCCAGCCCCTATACAGGACATAGGCATGGATGGATTCAAATCTTTTCTCTTTAAATTGAAATGAAGAAATTTAGTATAGATATTATCTATGTTATTTATCCAAAAGAAATAGGCAGTCTGTATAAAAAAAAAAGAATAAAAGACAGCATTTCATCTAATCTGAGGCCAAAGTGTTTAAGACATTTGTAGCATCACAAAACAGAAATATGAAGAGACATAGTCCTGCTGTATCCTCAGATCTTTTTACAGGAAGCTGAATAGTTTATTTCCTTTTCCAGGAGCAGTGGAAATCCCGTGACTGATTTATTTCCAATAAAACCGGGGGCAGCCTCAGGTCGTGTTTGGCTCCCCTGACCCCCCCCCCCAGCCCCGCCCCGTCGAAGAGCGCCTCCCCTCCCATTACCGACGCCGTGCGGATGCCACCTCGCTATTATCCGTCTGATTAAACCAATTAACTCGAAATAACCTCGAATTGCTCGAGCCATGGCCTACACAACCGCGGGTGGTACCAAGAAGAAGGTCTGCTACTACTACGACGGTAGGCGACCCCCGGAAAGCGCGAGCCGGGACCCCAAACCGCTGCGCGAGCCATGCTAACGTTAGCCACTTTGTGTTGTGTTCAATGGAAGCTAGGTAGCTATCCAGCTAGCTGCTTTCTTTATTAACCATAGTTAGGATTTACTCCTGTAGGGCATTAGTATTACTCTATTACCGGCTAAATGTTAGTAAGTGTGAGGCTAATGGTTAAAGATCTGGAAACTACCAGGTTGTGCCCAAAACTAACATAAAAACTATACTCATTAGTGTTGTGCGAGCCATGGTTGCGTTCAGGGACCAGGATC